GGGGCTTTTGATTGCCGACCCCGCGCTGTGGGCTCAAGAGCTTTCCAACGCGGGAAGTTCTTGGCAAACGATGGCAGCTCTTGGTTGGTGCTTGCGGAAGGCTCCTCTGCCTCTATCAACCTGCACCGCCAAGGCCCATGAGCTTGCCCTTGAACTCTATACTGTGCCACTGACTGCAAGCATGGCAGAGCCGCACCCGAAGGCCGCAAGCACCTGAACACTGAACAAGGCCCCCAGCATAAGGCTGCGTCTCATGTCCACTTGTTAGCCGCTAGCCAATCGACCGTGGTGGTGATGATCCGTCATAAGCCACACGCATGAACGGATGAAACATGCGAAGACACACGCCCCTGACAAGCCACTGGCTATTGCAAAATGGATGCGCAAACTATCGAAACCACCCTACACCCCGAACCCTAAAGCCGAGTTTAGGGGAGGGCACGGCTACACGTCGGCTTCTCGCTGCAACGCGAAAGAGAAGGTTTTGGGTATGGTAGCTACTGCACGCTGACGATAGTCACCCTAAAAGACGACCGACCCTGTATTAAACATCCTTAAAGTTCAAAATGACTTTACTTGCTCCGTCCCGTTCCTGGCTGCTAATCCTTCCAGCTAGCGATTGTGAATCTGCAGCTGCAATCTTCTGTCTGTTTCTCTCTTTCTCTCTCTCTCTCGGTGTTCGACTGATCTGATCCGCAACCCGATCCCAAAACCGCATGAGTTGTCCAACTGTTGCTCAAGTCCAGTCACGACAGCTTCCATGTTGCGGGGGCCACTTTCACAAACTGTACAAAACAAACGTGCAGGAAACGATGCCTGCTGGTGATATAATCAGAATCAGAATCGGCATCAAAGGACCAATCATGAACACCCAAGCTAACGCAAGCAAGAATAGCCACCTGTTGATCATGCCAATGCTTAGGATGACCATGAGTCCATGGTTTTGCCACACGAGCAAATAAATAGGAAGCAAAGATTTTTGAGTAGAGTTCAATTGCACTTCGACATGCTTCTTTATCGGCCCCAAAGACAGAGGAAGGCGGTCACAACATGTATTATGATGACAGTGACGGTGACAATGGATCNNACGATGATGATAATGATGGTGGTGATGGCCAATGATGACGGTGAAGCAGAAGAAGATGACGATGGAAGATGTCAATGGGAGTTGTGACAACAAGTGATGGTAGTGGGGGTGCATCAGATGAAAATTGTGGAGATGGATGCGTGATAGTACAGCAGGTGAAATGAAGATAGCCATGACCTGCATGATGGTGATGGAGAAGGTGAGGGGTCACGAAGATGCTGAATCTCGTAACTTTCCGACGTGGATAACGATGGCCAAGACGATGATGACGCAACCTGCTGCTTTTCATGTGCATCTGGTCTCGTGTTCTCCTGCTTCAGTTTTCGAAACTCTGCATGGGTCATTGCATTTGATCTGTGTCTCGTCCACCAGCAGGCGGCGCTGTGTCTCACTCGCCGGCTCGATCCCAAACCTTGCCGAAGATGAGAAAATGAGCGAGAGAGAGAGAGAGAGAGAGAGAGAGAGAGAGAGAGAGCGAGAGCCAGGGGGAGAGGGAAAGGGAGAGGGAGAGGGGGACGAGAGCCAGAGAGAGAGAGAGAGGGAGAGGGGGATGGAGAGGGAGAGAGAGAGGGAAAGGGAGAGGGAGGGAGAGGGAGGGAGGGAGGGAGGGAGGGAGGGATGGGGAGGGAAGAACGGAGAGTGAGATGGAGATAGAGATCGAGAAGCAAAAGCAATCGCAAAAAGACGGCGAGCGCGAAAGTGGTGTTAAGGTCCATGCTGCAACTGAGCCTTCCCCAAATGAACATGCAAGTCGCAGTGTGACGAAGCCATTCCCGTCTTGCTGTCTCGCGCTTGCTTCCAGTCATCCCCATCCCAAAGCCAGGGTATCAGAAATCCTTATCCTAAATCTGCGTGCGCTATATGAGTATGTGCGCTGCAACCCCTAAACCCTACAAATCATCAACCCGTTAGCCACCGCACTCCTAAAAACCCTAAACCCTAAACCCTAAAACCCTAAAGCCCCAAATCCTAAACCCTAAAACCCTAAAGCCCTAAAACCCTAAAGCCCGTCATATTCTCAGCTTCGCCGCTCCATCCCAGTCCTCTGGCGGAGGGGTCTCGGCATAGGACACACCTCGATGGAGGAAGCCATGAGGAGGGGGAACTCTTTTGAGGGAAATTTAGGTTAGGATTTCGACTCACAGACTCGCAAAGCAGGCATGGCTTCAACGTCCGCAGGTGAGGATGTAGGGTTTAGGGAAAGTTTAAGGAAAATTCTGGCTTAGGGAAATTTAGGGTTTAGGGTTTCGAGCTTAGGGTTTAGATCTAGTCAGTAAATGTCGTTTTTGTGGCATATAGTATGCTATTACGTAAAGGAGTATGGTGGGTAGTTTTTGTTTCGGTGTAGGGTTGGGTGGATATGACGACCATAGTTACCTGAAGCAATTGCATATCAGACCTAGGTCAAACGAATGCCATGCACGCCTGAAGTCTAGACTTAAGCGCCAGTTTAATCAAAACCGACGGCACCCTTAATAAAAGAAGGGGCCCGAAAAGGGACCCTGATTTAGAGAACTACCCAAAAAGGCCCCAAGCCTTCCCCCAACATCCCTCAACGACGAGGGTGTTCTGTAGGGCCTTTAGGGCTTTAAGGGCTTAAAGGTTTAAAGGTGTAGGGCTTTCAGGGTCTAGGGCTCTCAGGGTTAGGGCTTTGAGGGTTTCGGGCAGCTGGGGGCTTTAAGGAATGTGTGGTAGGGTCCACCATACATGACAAACGAGCCGTGGCCGTGGAGGCATTCTGAGATGTGCTCTTCGAAATTAATAGTGGCCGCAATTCAGAATCATTAGAGATCTAGAATGGAAGGAGCCTAAGCAGCCTCACGAATTCTTGAAGCCGCAAGATCTGCATTCACACAAACAGGGAGTAATGCAGAAAGTCACTCAAGAACCGACATGATTAGCGGCCTGCTGCCGCAAGCAGCTACATAGGCAACTTTGAACCCGAAGCAGTATAAACCCAAGGATTGGTTGAATCTGACACAGGCCAACCTCACAGGCCATTTGCTATAGGGGGCCTTAACAAAAAATACAGAGTTTGCAGGGCATGAAATCTCTGAGCTTCCTATTGCTGACTTTTCAAACCGCTGCAGTACAATCAAAATCAGTCGGAACTTGCAGAAAAAGGGGCAGCGCTGCAGCATCAGCGCAGAAGATACATCCTGCGAACAACCGTATAGACTTTGGGTGCTGCATGGCAACATGAGGATAGTACTTCAAGGCCAATTGGCTTTCGAGACCCGTTCTTCTCTAGTGTGAAGAAAAACAAGTCTTCAGCGCCACTCCGGGGACAGCTTCACAGCATTAACCAAGCCAAGCTAAAGGGTTTAGGGTTTAGAGAGCCTAATATAGGTAATATAGGAGCCTTAATGCTTTGGGGGTATACTATACTACAATTATAATGAGGACCCCCCCCAAAAAAAAAAAGTAGGCTAAAGGTAATTTATGTAGGCCTCGTAGATCAAACTCCCAGTCCTGCACGCCCGTAAGTTTCTGCATGGCTTGGCCAGCAGCAGTGAAACCTTCCTTCGCCTTAATGCACCACAAGTTCAATGCTTCCTCGGCTTAAGTGCGGCTTAACCGTCAGGGGTTGAGGCCTACTACTTTTGTTTTTGGTGCTATTATTCCTGTTAAAAAATAGTATGCCTACGATTGTTCTGGCTGCTACTATTGGCAGGTATAATCTTGCTACAAGTACTATGGGGCGAAGGGCTTGCGCCGCTTCTGCCAACATATCGCAATCCCAGAACTTTCAAATCGTGTCACATCCGACGTCAGGTTTGACGTCAGAAAGACGAGCTACAGCAATCAGCTCACAAACCTTCACCCATTCAGAACAGCCAGAACAAGCAAATCGCTCTCAACCACGAAGATAGAAGCTGCAATCTTGTGCCCTCCAGGCCACTTGCTCAAATCGGCCATGGCGGTAGTGCTCGACGGCCTGGCAGCAAAGATTCTAGCCCCGAACCCTTATTTTGCAAAGCCTGCACTTTGCACTCACTCAAGCTCTCAAATTTTCAAACCCACATTTCAACCCAGCATACTCGGACTATCCGGGCCTTGCATGACCGCAGTTTCTGCGTGGTTGCATTGACGGTTCGCTTCTTTTTTGTTGTTAAACCAACTTCTTATCATTCTTATCTTCCAGAGCCCCTCCATCACTGATGGTGCTTGTTTATAGGCTTGCAGAGGGCTCGAGGCCTCTTGGGCCCAAGATTTCGACTCTCACCGCTCGCACGCAGCAGGCACGGGATTTCTAGGGTCCCGCAGGCACTTGTTGTAAGAACTCCGGGTGCAAATCTCTGAATGAGGGCCGCGCCACTCCATGCAGACTTGTGCAAAAGCATGAAGCTGGTCATCACCACACTACGCTCGAGTGTAATGAGCGTGGGCGGGCCTATGCCGAATTAAAAGCGCTGATCATGCAGGAAAGAACTTTGTCACTTAGGCTCGCCCCGAACAAAACGAGCATCTACCCTAACCCCAAAAAACCTACCTTTCTAAGGACTTATATAAAGAAACGATAATAAGGAAACCTAAAAAGGTAGGTTATATGGCATATGCGGAAGCTCCAAATGCCTAGAAACTTGTCACTGGCACCGGGGCCGCCCAGAGGTCTTCTATCCTTTTTTGGCGAAGCTCGTGCGACCAGCCCTGTACACTGCCACATCGTGCTGGCTTCGGTCACCACGGCCCGCACCACATGATTCCGCTCAAAAGCTAAACCATGCACAAACCCAAAGACTCAAAAAAACAGCTGAATTACGGAGTGCTCCTCGAACTAGAACCGATAGAACGGATGCTTAATCAATGACCCTTCATTAAGGGACAATGATTGGAGTCTCTGGGGAATTTGGGAATGGAAGGTTGCACTTAGGCCCCCTGTACTGGACTCTCGGGCTCCCGGTCAGGGAGATCACACGCCTCCCGCCACCGTCCGCTCCTGCACCTTGCGTTCCCCACGAGGTTGCCACAAGATCTGAGCGACGAGGCCAAGGACACCCAGGCCAATGACAATAAGCAGGTTGATGACGTGTCGACTTAGCACATGGGATTCCACCTGGAGGCGTCTTGTACTTCCATGGAACTCGAACTAGGGGTCCTTCAAAAATGATACTATTATTAATAAAATAATACCAATAATAATAGTAATACCAATAAGAATGGTAATACCAATAATAATGATATCAATAATAATAATAAGAAGAATAAGAATAAGAATAATAATAATAATAATACTAACAAAGCATCCTAAGCCGTCGTGTACCCTTTCGGCTCTCTTTGGGGGCTCCACCTCCGCACATCTGAGCAAGCTCGAGGCGCACCGCCAGGCAGCCCAAGACCCGAAGAAGGCGGTGACAATCATGATTAAGTGCCTTTCGGTGCTGAGTTCATAAGCAGAAAGCAGTGTACACACATTCAGTTCTATAAGGGGTCATGTATTGTCCCCAAAAGTGTACACTTTCAGTTCTATAAGGGATCATGTGTTATCCCAAAAAGTGTATAAAGTGTAGTCTTTCAGCTACTAAGGTGCTTCACCCAGGTTCTGCAGAGGTATCCTGCTAGCAAGGCGAGTGGGACACCGAGTGTGACGCCTCCAAATTGCTCCCAGCCCTTGTAGGCATCACCAAGTGCAGAATCCAGAGGCTTCTGTAGGGCATACCTGTAGCCGAAAAGACAAACCTTTTTCAGGGACTATATATAGAAACCATAGTAAGGAAGCCCGAAAAGGTAGGTTCTTTAGGGTCCAGGTACACGAGGAGGCATGTGGCAGCCAGGCCCAGAAATATGCCAAACACGATGCCCAGCATCTTTTCGATGCCCTCCCGGCACCTTCGCGCGAGCACTGCTGCTACCGTTCCCCATAGCACGCAGCATACGAGCACCGTCACCTTCTTCACCGTTGTGGCCTCTTCTGGCATTTCGCTGATCCAGTGCGATCCTACCAGTGCCTCTAAGCCGAAGCCCACCAGGAAGGCGAAGAACGCAAAGGCCACCTTGTAAATCCGATATCCGAAGAAGCTCACAGCCAGGCCAAAGAAGCAGAGAATGGAGAGGAACACCGTCGCCGATGTATCACAAACCTCCTCTTCCAAGGGGAGAAAGATCTCGTGCACTGCCTCATTGACTGCCATTATTCGGCGGATGCGTTTGCTATGCAAAGGCTTCACTCGCACGACTTTGGACTTTGGACACTCTGCTTGAGCCGTGGCCGCGCAAGTTGGCGTCTTCTGACAGCTCTACCCATAGGCCTCTAAGTAGTTCCTTTTTGGGATTACCTTAAAGGATTCTAAATATGAACCACAAAAAAGGGAACTACTTAGGGGCCTTTGGGTCCTAAACACTGCTCCACGTTGAAGAAGCATCAAGGAGGCCTCGGCCTCCCTTCAACCTGAGGAAGAACCGGACTGCTTCAAGCCCCTGGCTGAAGCCCTAAACCCGAAACTGGAACACCAACAAACCCTAAACCCTAAACCCTATAAACCCTAAACCCTATAACCCCTAACACTCTAACACCCTAACACCCTATAGCCCCTAAACCCTAAGCCCTACGCCCTAAACCCGCACCTCTGTATAGAGGTCAGCTGCTTTTTCCTCGAGAGAGGCCTGGCCCGGCGATTGCGGAGTTCTCACAGGGGTTTAGGTTTAGGGGTTTACAGGGTTTATAGGGCTTTGGGGGTTTAGGGTTCAGGGGTTGAGAGTTTACAGGGTTTACAGGGTTTAGGGTTTAGTAGAGGTTTAGGGGTTCAGGGTTGAGGGTTCAGGGGTTTTACAGGGCTTACAGGGTTTAGGGTCTACGGAAAATTGCTATTCTAGGATAAGGGAGGCACTGTGAATAGTGGGAATCCGTCTGGGCCGGGGCTCTCTTGTCAGGATCCTCGGAAGGCTAGCTAGGAGCATGCTTGAAATGCTGTGGGTTAGAGCCCTGAACCTAAACCCTCGACGGTTCCTTCGGGGTTTCGCGGTTCGGGATTAGGAGAGTCTGGAATGGGTTTAGGGTTTAAGGTTTAGGGTTTAAGGGGCCTAAAACCAATCGGACTGGGGTCTATGTCGGGGCCCCTTCAAACAGATCCACCCGAAAGCTCAACGTTGGCTGCAGCCCCCAAATCTGCCAAGTATGAGCCAGAACCACCTCCAATCAATGCTGAACCCTAAACCCTAAACCCTAAACCCTAGGTTTATAAACCCATTCAAACCCACTAGCCCCCATGTGAAACGGCCTTGGAGGGACGACGGTTAGCTTTCCAGACTTCGAAGATCCTTGGTCACGCCGACAGCTTCAGAATAACGCAGAGTTCATTTTGGGTTTAGGGTTTAGGGTTTAGGGTTTAGAGTGTCGATCTGTTACGTGGCGGTCGAGATAGTGGCAGGTGGTGTTGCAATACCGTCAGCATGGCTTGGAGTATGGCGCAAGCTTGCAAAACACATCCAAACGCTACCTCTGTCCCTCTCCAAACTCGAACAATGTCTTGGACTATCAAAGTAGTCAGGAGGCTTGATCTCCGGAGAGACTCCGGGGACCCGAAAAAATCACAGCATGCCTCATTTTTTCACCGAGTTTCTGCTCGCTCTCTTCAGCATCCGCAGACCGCCGGATAAAGTCCTCGGATTTGGGAAGCTTGTCGGTGCTAGCTGTGACTGAATTCGGGCAGTTCGTGTGGCTTCGAAGACACCGCCTTGGATCTGAGGCGTCCTAGATGTGCGGAGGAATTGCTAGGCCCGACATCGCCAGAAAAGCTGAGGCCCGAGACTTCGGTGTCTTGGCTTTGCTGTCAATCGATCTGCTCGAAACACCAAAGACGGTCGTTCCGGAAACGCAACCTCCTCCCCATGCTCTTCAATTCTCAAATGCAGGCTCAGCATCTATGGGGCGTGACACAAAGCCTTCGATATCCAAGTCCGTGTGTGTCGTCTCAGAGACCAGCAACCTCAGCTTCATGCTTCTCTCACCTCCTCGAACTCTCTGGCTGCAGAAGCACCCTTGACCACTTTTAGTCCTCGCAATGACCAGGCCAGTGGTCTAAAAGCCAAACCCTTTTTTCTGACTCTGCCCCGTGTCGTGCGCTTATGTTCGCACAAAGTGGCTGCGTGCCATAAGTCTTGTTGAGCTCTTCCAGCCGCCCCGGCATGCTGCACTCATCACCCACCTGAGAGGACTCGGCACAAGGCGACTAATCACAATGCAAGTATTCACAGGAGCTATAAGACTGTGCCTCCAAAGATGTCGAAACATTTTCGAAAGCGGCACATGCACCCAGGCAGCACTGTACTGATCCACATACATATGTTTTTGACATGCAGCTGTTGAAATGAGTCTTTTGCTTGTTCCGGCGTGAAGAATGTGTACTGACCAGTCATCTAAAGGTTAAGGTTAGGTTAGGTCTTGTCGACTTGAAACGAAACTTCCGGAAAGCAAACTATGGATTTCAATTTGCCGTACATCCAGCTTGGCGGGCAGCTGTTGACGTGAACCAGGTGGTCTAAAAAGCAGCCGAGTAGCAATGCCGTACTTGATCCGCGATTGCATGCCTGAGTTGCCGACAGGTCTACAATCATCATCGCGAATACTCAGGCGAGTTGGCGACTGCTGACGACGATGATACTAAAGAGCATGGCGGCTCAAAATTGGTGATCGGCGTAGCAAGTGGTACTGCCGGCGAGCGCAGGTGGTGATGTTTGCTACTGCAGTCGCCCGTCGAGGCTGATCGCTGCATGTTCCTTGGGTAGAAACCTCCGGGTTGATCCGTTGCAGCGGCTCCCATGTCTCCGACGGGCTTGCCCGAAGGGCGCAACAGCAATGCACGTCGAAAGAGCTGAGGTCAGCGGCAGGATCACTTCAGCGCTTGTTCGTCTCAACTCAACCCACCACACCCTGGCCCGAAGAGCCACCTCGAAACACGACTCCGCAAAAAGAAGAGGACGTCCGTTCGGAGCGCTTCTTAGCGACAGCAGGCATCGAACCAACATTCTGCAAGGTTCCGTAGAAATTCATATGGAACAATGAAATTTAGCCCCAAACCCTGCTCCAATTACAAATAATTACAAAATACCCCATATTCGCTCAAAGTTTGCGCTCGAGGTGCCCATGTTGCCAACGAGCACTTTGCCAGTGTGAACTCCACACCGGATGGAGATCCTGTCTCACCACGATATGGGCCATGGGTAGTTCTCTATACTAGGGTTCGTTGAAGGGAGTTCGTTAAAGGGACCTATAGGGGTATCATCTATAGGCGGGTAGTTCTTTATATTAGGGCTCCTTGTAGGGTCTTTGTGACTTTGGCGCCTAAGAAGGGATCCCAGTTCACAGGACTACCCATATGAACCGAAGCACAGCAATCAACTCTCATGCTCAGCCAGACCCCTAGCCCCAAACCCTAAGCCCTAAACCCCCTCAAACCCCAAACCCTAAATCCTTAACCTTAAATACCCCAAAATGTCAATGATCCCTGCTGCCAAGGGGGGCTCCTGGGCAGCTCCCGTCGATCCAGCCATGCGTTGATGCTGCCGACGGCCTGCTCCCCCGGAATGTTTATTTTTGTTCTTTTCTCACCCGCTTTTTCCTGTCAGCCGATCTTTTTGTCATGGATGTTATTCTGCTTCGTCTTAGTCGTTTGTTACTCCTACAACTGTTTGACACTGCTTGTAGGGTTCAGGGTGTTTGGGGCGTTTTCATGCGAGGGTGATGTGACGGGGATGTCGCGTCAACCACCATGGACAAGCTCCGGCCTATGTGTAGACTTGATTCAAGAACTTTCTGTCAGAATTGTGGGTCATTTTTCATTCTCCCTAAACCCTAAACCCTACAGTAAACCCTAGACTCTAAACCCTAAGCCCTAAACTGTGACTTGACACTGGATTCTTGTTCGAAAAGCTCTCAATCAGGCTCTTAAGCTCTTCCAATGCCACCTCCTAGCCTTAGCATGACAGGAACACTCTGGGCTCTTAGCGGCTGAGAGCCCAAGAATTTCCTGTCTTAGCCTGACCCCAGAGCTTTGTTGCTCACTACAATCGTCGGATGATGTAGCAAGCCGTCCACTTAATGTTGCCATGTCATGTGCCGCAAGGTCACTCACTCACGCACTCACTCACTCGCACAAACCCTAAACCCTAAACCGCCGCAAAACCCTCTGAGCACCCCGGCGTGCAGCATCTCCACCTCAGCTAACATCCATGCCAATGCTGACTCAACCAACTCCCTCCACCGAGCCAGCAAAAGATTCAGGAAACGCGGAAGCTTAACCAAACAAGCAGTCTCCGCAGCTGAGGCATCGACTGCAGCTTTCACTGCGACGGTGGCGTGGCTGTCGTTGACGACGGGTGCTCCGTAGATGCAAAGTATCGCATCGCCTAGGAACTTCTCCCCAAGCCCCCAATTTGACGTAGACCCTGTTGAACCTTAGCAGGGCCTTGGGGTGTTGAACCTTAGCCCCAAACCCCTACAGGCTCTATATGCTTGATAGGAGGGCCTTGGCGTTCCGAGAAAGGGGGCTAAGGGTTTAAAAAGGGGTGTAGGGTTACTGCGGGTTCAGGGTTCTAGAGGGCGTCGTGATGAGCATCAACCTTGTGTGGGCTCAAGCAAAGAGCGCTTGGGTGCGAGTCGAATGGCATTGTGGGGGTTTCCGAAAATAGGGGACCCTAGTATAGTACCCTAAATAATTAGTAGGATCCTTATTATAAGGACCCCCAAATAAGGTACCCCTTAGTTTCGGAAACTCCCTTCTGGGCATTGTGGTGAAGCCTGAAATGCCTGGGACTTGCGAGACTGGACCTGGCGTCATGGGTGTTCCAGGAACTTTAGAGACCAAACGAAGCTAGCCTAAACGAGTGTAGGGTTGAAAGGCTGCATAGGGTTTGCGTATCACCCTATACTATCCTATACTCTCTTCCTACTCACCTTCAACTCGAAGACATCCAATTCTAGAATCAAGCTGCGCTGGGCCCCATACGGCAACCGTTCGAAGAGAAACAACCTCGGCTTCGTTGACGAGCTGCCGATGAACTCTACGACGATGCCTCCATGGGCGTCCACGATCTTGGACATTTCCTGCTTTGCAGAGGCTAAGCGGAGACAATCAAGCTGGCTTTCAGGAGAGCCTCGTGCCAGCAACCATCATGCTATGATTATATGATAGGAGCTACAAGGGCATAACATGACTAACTATTCCGACACCTATATATAATTCGCAGTCAAAGCAAGCACCGTGGCCTCTAGAACCCCGCTCCCTCCCAAAACAGATCCGAGATCTTAGGCCACTCCCTGCCCTTTCGCCCTATAAATCCTAGTCCTAAAACACCAAGGGCTCCTGAAAGTATCGGCTCAGCAGGAGGAGCGAGCTCTTTGGCGGCAGGCTTTCGACGATGGTGGTGAAACTTGCGATGTCTGAGAAGAACATGGTCACCTTCGGGTTCAGGGATGTTTTTGACTTTGCAAGAATCCGCTGCAGCAGAGTAACGAATCAATCGCACCGTGCCACACCCCACCGTCATCATCACTGTCATCACCACAACCATCACACACGGCGACGACATCATAGCGACAACCACAGTGCATTGATGATGACCATGGTGAAAATGATAATGACAAGGCTTGCGCGACAGCGGTTCGGCATTCCTTTCCATGGGTTCCCCAACAGGAGGCCAAGACGCTTCTGCAAGCTCAAGGAAGTGCAGTTGGGCCTTGTTGGACTGGTTTAAAGTTGTGCTAGTGTTTGGGGCCTATATAGCTTACAAGGTCTAAAAAACTATTGCTGTTTCGGGGCCCGAGGGGGCACCCCGTACCTACTACAGTATGGTAAGATGTGATAAGCAACGCAACGGAATACTGTTGATGTAAGGACCCTAAACTAAGGGAAGCATGGTGCATTCCTTATTATGGGCAATGCATGATTTATATCATCAACACCGTGGTATTAAAACAATCAGCCCTTTTTGTGAACTCTAAGGAATAGTACTATCCCTAAACCCTAAATTGAGAATCAGCCCTTTTTTTGCAGAGGCCCCGCCTTACGCTCGGAGACTTCGATGTTAGCTTCGGCATCTTTTCGCATCATCAGCTGCACCACAGGCCTCGGGTGCTGAAAGCTCAGGGGGGCTCAACTGGGCTTTCAGAGGTTTAGGATGTACGGGGTTTAGGGTTTACAGGGTTTTTTTGCCTCCCACCTTGCTAGGACGAAGCCCGCACTGCAGGGCACAATCCGAATGTTTACAGGGTTTAGAGTTTAGGGCTTAAGATGTCGTCTCGCGGTTGCGAGTCATGCAGCATGCGAGATGTCGGAGCTCAGAACTCAACCTTGCCAGTTGCCAGGAGAGAGGAGAGACCTCTGAAGAGATGTGTGGGGTGCCATCCAAGGGGCCAGGGGACGTACCCTAAACCCGAAACCCTAAACCCTAAGTCTTGCCATCCAAGGGGCCAGGGGACGTACTTGCCCCAGGAGCGGATGGCCGTCTTCATGCTGTCGAACCGTCGGCGGAGCAACCTGGCAGTGGAAAAGTTGGCTTCACGTGCCTTTTTACGACTCGCTAAGGGCGTATAGGGTTGAGGTTTTATAGGGCTTTACGTATAGGGTTTAGGCCCAGTTTAGGATAGCATGTATGGCTTGACCATGACAAGTGTGCTGATTTATCATGATGGTGGTGGCCGGCGAGGACATGCAGTAGTCATGATCCACATATTCACGCTTGCAACTTCCCTGGCCCATGATGCCAGTAACGAGGACTCACCCGAATCGGTCATTGGAAGAACCGGTGAGTGCACGTTGCTGTCCCCTCAGTTTGTACTGGGTGTTCTGCGCATGAGCTAGTGGAATAAGTCGCCGCAACTACATCAGCCTCAACCAGCTACATGACAGAAGAACTCCACACTGGCCTCACCCAGTTGTCAGCGATTTTCATTCAGCGGCCTAGGCCTAGCACAGCCTCTCTGCTCGTGAAAGAAGCAGATGTGCCCGCCCCCAACTCCGCAGATCAATCCCAAGGCCTGATCTCGCTGGAGACGTTCTGGGCCAACTGCACACATGCGCCAGAGTGTCGCAACTTTCATAATCAAGGAGACGGGGTTGAAAGCCTATTGGACTATGACATGTGAGCAACAGCAAACCTTTACCGGCATAGTCACATGTGGGGCTTTCAGGTTGTGGTCCTGTTTGCCTCTCCAAACAATAAGTGCCCCTTTTTTTGACTGCCGCTACAGTCTCTACGCAAAGGCAAACCTACTATATTATATTGAGACCCCTTATATCAATAAACACGCAGCAATGTCAGAATGCGGCCAAAATGAGAGGGGTCGCCTCCAGGCTATGCGTAGTGGCTGAATTGGTCGCAGCAAGTTGCAGCCGAGTGATGCTTTCCTTGGAGTGCTTCGAGCGTCGGATCTTGCTAGACCCAGAGAGCCCAATACCCCTTAATTAAGGAATATACCTGAAATTCTAAGGGGCTTAAAAATTATGATTTAAGGTATATTCCTTAACTAAGGCGTATTGGGCTCTCTGGGGAACTGTCCTTTTTCAGCTTCATGGCCTAGGGCTGTCGGGGCGATGGGACCAGCAATACACGACAAAAGCAGTGCAGGAGGATCGAGAGCTTCAGATGCTCCGAAGCCATGTATATATGGACATATATGTGTGTGTGTAGGGGTGTGTGTGTGTGTGTAGGTGGGTTTGTGTGTGTGGGTGTGCGTTCATGTGTGTTTGTTTATGCGTATATATATATATACATAAATCATATTTGTATATGTGTGTATATATATATATACAAATACGTACGTACGCGCTTACGTACATACATACAAACATACATACATACATACATATGTATCTATGTATACATATATGTATCACTTGGCAGAAACGAGATTCACTTGGAATACTGGTGTCCGACAAGGACGGGCTTGCATCAGGCTTGCAGAGAGACACACCCTTCAACCTTTGACCCCTGGTTCTGCAGCAGCCCAGTATGGACCATAAACCCCCCAGGTCTCTCTGAAGTGCCTCCAGCAATAAGGCTAAACCCCTAACCCTAAACCCCAAAACCCGAAACTCTAAACCCCATGAGTCATGTCGACAGGTCTTCACACCGATTCGCAGCTGAGCTCTGAGGGTCGGCTGTTGCTGGTGCCAAGCTCTGAGGCTCACGAGCTACTGGCCGAGATTCCAACCGGTTCTGACCCAAGTCCTACAGTTTTGGGGTTTAGGGTTTAGGGTTCCTGCCAGTCCTATAAGGTGTAGGGTTTAGGGTTCCTGCAGTCCTAAAATCCGCACATTCCCTAGAACTTAGGCCCTTTCTTGATTAAGCCCGAAACCCCCAAACCACGATATGTAGACCTCAGCAGGATAACTTGGAAGCAGGGGGCCACTTCATCGGCCAGCTCCACAAGCGGCTTTAAGAGGTTCTTGGACAAGTACCTCTGCCCAAGAATTGTTTAAGTAGCAAATTTTGGGGGTTTGGGTCGGGTCAAGGGGTGTTTAGGGTTGGGGTTTAATTGGGTTTAAGGCTCGTGCGCAAAAGTAGCAGGACTTCGCACTTCGAGCTATGCATGACCAGAGCCGGATACTTGCTACTCACTTGAAATCTTGGGTGCGTAAGATCCCGCGTGAGGAGGCTGATGCCGATGACGATGAGGAAAAGGACCACCCCTGGCAAGGCTCGAGACCAATCAGAAAGCATCGAGGTGGATGTAGGTTAGGAGGCTATCTTTGGTGGTCAGGATCTCTTTGCGTTTCAACATCACTGTGCGGGATCATGAGCTCCTCAGAGCGAGCCTCCGACACAAATCCGAAGCTTTACAAAGCCATGGCCATATAAGGGACCTCTTCTAAGGCTCTGGCATGTTGTGATAATGGAATCTCGAGCTGTGGCAACGGTATCCGCGCGATTCCTTGGAAGTGGGCCCCAAATTGGAGATCCTCTTGGATTTTAGACGGGATCTTATACTTGCTACTTTGCCTCTTGTTCCCTCTCAGGTGCAAGCATGTCTCCCAAACTCTTGTGAAATCTCAGTCGTTATACATGAAACCAGAAGGCGCCCACTCAATGTGCGGATGTCCGGTGGCAGAAGATCGCCGACACTTCCTAGCTTCATGGCCTCGTGATGTGGTGCCATTCGCACTTCATGCAGCTCGTAACATACTAAGTCACTATAAAGCCCTGTCCTCCCTAGTGTTTGCCATGCCCCTGCATATTCAGCTGCTTGCTGCCCCCGAGCAGAACAGCACTCAGAGACAGTTGTGCGCACTCTCAGCTTTCTCAGACCAAGTTCGTGAACCCTAAACAGCACTAAAAAATCCATATACATACATACATATATATATATATACATATTATATTATAAATATATGTATATGTATACACACACACTCTCTCTCTCTCTCTCGCTCTCTCTCTCTCTCTCCATCAAAAAACCATCGACTTTCTCTGCCTAGGTTCAGAAACAGTGCCACGGCTTCCGTCCTCTCCTCGAGGTCCTCTGCGGTGATATCCTTGCCGCCGTCAACACTGAGCCGGGGGTCTCGGGTGTTTAGGGGCCGCTTTAGGGGTTTCATGTTTCGGAACACTGCAACCGTTCTAGCAAATGCTGGTTAGGGGTTTATGGTTGGGAGGTTTAGAGTTTAGAGAGTCTTTCCCTCCCAGCTTTTAGGGTTTAGGGTAAAGGCTAGTCCAAGCTCCTGGTTGTCAAAGTCCGGATATCGCATCAACAGCCTTGGTTGTCGGCTTGAGCCAGGGACGAGAAGCAATAATGACGTGATCACACGCAACAGATCCCTACGGGTACTGGTGGCGACGCTGTGTACGCTTTGATAGAGGCCATGAAACCAAACAAATCGCCAAGGAGCAGATCCATCTGTCGGTATTCTGAAGATATGACATCGACGTCCACCTCATCAAGCCTCTTCGTCCTTGCCACACACACACACACAGATCCGCGACTGTGTGTAACATTGAGATCGCATCCCCGTGGATATGAGCATCTACAAGAAGAATGAATGGGCAAACATGTCGGAACAGGTTTGGGATCTGCCGTATCTTTTGTATATGGCTGCATGCCTGATCCAGGGCCAAGTCTCTGTCCCCACACGAGGGCTTCACTCAACGGCGCATCACAGCGCCGTTCGTTTGAACCCACCAAGGAGTTGCAGTAGACTTTCCTGATCGCAGAGGGAGATGGGAACGATGCTACAAACTCCGTGCTGAAATGATGGACAGTACTAATTATACTGAATTCCGGCAACAAGACGCATACGGCTTCTCGCACATGGGGTCCAGAAAGAGCTATCAGCCCCAAAATCTGAAAGCCTCGCACCATTGCAAGGACCCGCACACCGTATATAGAGACTGCTTCTTTAGTCAGAACTATAGGGGGCCTATTATAAGCCATCAACCGCATCTTGCAAACTCTCAACGTCTTCGTCTGATCCGAGAGTCCTCTGCAGATCCAAGTACAGAAGAGGCCGCTCTGGACGCGCCCAGCCTTCATGAAGCGTCCACGTGGCCACTTGCCTGCGGGGTCTCTTGGGGAGGGTTGGAGTTTCGGATGTGTGGATGGGTTCAGAGCACTATTGTGCAGCTCGGGTCATGCATTTTCGGCAGAGCAGGAATCGCGTGTGCCGCTGCGGAAGGGCAATCTCCTAATGCCATTATGCTTCTGTGACAACAAACCTCCAGATCAAAGAGGGCAGGTTGAGCTTCTCCGGCCTGCTTTAAGGATCCACTGGTTTTGTCACTGCTCTGAGACTCCCAAATCCATTCTTCGAGGGAATAAAGAGGTGGCAGCGGGTCTCAGTACACAGGGGTCTGCTATGTCTTTCGCGTTTTCACTTTACGCTCTAATCTACAAGTACAAACCGAGACGCGTTGCGTACATGTTCTAGGGTTATCATGCATAATTAATACATAACACTGGAACAAAACGATCGTATCCACACATGCATGCATGTCTGTGAGTGTGCAGGTGTGCAGGTGTGCAGGGGTGCGTGCGTGTGTGTGTGTGTGTGTCTGTGTCTGTGTGAAGGCAGAGAGAGCTCTGGCTGGAGAGTTTATCAGCTACACTCAGTCACTCAGTCAGTCAGTGATCCAATTCAGCTCAAATTGGCATCTGCATTTGTACTTCCTAATCAGGTCCTAATCCTTTGCTTCTACCAGCACCAGAGTCCTCTGCAGCAGGCCTGCGAATGACGTCCGGTATGGTCGTGTTCACGGCAGGGCTGCCTGAAGACAACCAGGAGGATTTCGTGATTTCGCGTCGTCTTCGCATGTTCCGGCTCTTGTGGCATACTTCAGCACTCAGAACTGGGACAAGCTTGGCGAGGTTGCCGGTACGATGAAGCAGTTTGTGGCTTACTTAGGGCTTATAGGGCTTATAGGGGCTGTTGTGGATCATCGGTCATGTTGACTGAGGTCTTGCACCATAAACCTTCTCAGCTTTTCGACTCACGACTCGGCGGTGAGGCATTCGGGTTGTTGGATTGGGGCTGCATACCCAAGGCCTGTGTAAGGTGCATGTCATGTCTTGTCCTCTCTACAAGGCCCAGGCCCCATTCAGGGATATGATGTTGCATGCATTGGCGGCAGACCAGCTGGTGTGGTCCGCGCACAGGCCAGCAAAGACTAATACAAAGCGGGACTTCGATATCGGCTAACACATATATTCAAAGCTGGGTTTGGGGTATATCATCGTATACTGGGAAGAGCTCTTGCAACCCCCGCCAATACTAATTTGTAATTCTTTAGGCACCCATGCTATCTTTGTAGGGGCTTCTGGGATGGGTGGAGCAATGGCTGCCCTGAGAAACCCAGATTCTGGGCTCGGATTCTCTCGAATGATAGCAGCAATAGTGGAAATTACAGGAGTGCTACTGCTGATGCTACGTAACAAACATGGAAGTTAGGGTCCAAGGTCTATACAACATGAAGGTAGAGTATAAGAATACTGATACTGGCAATAACAATAATAACAGCATGCAGCAAGAATAATCACAAAGGCAACAAGAGTGAAAAGCCGGGCCGACAGGTTTCAAGCACCCCTCATGAAGAACCCAAGACCTTCCCCAACTCATTCGAGAGGCCGGTAGTGAGGCCAACGAAGGAGTTCATCGAAACGAAGCCGTAGTTGAGGGAGGTGTCCTGCCGAAACCCCTAAAAGGGGTTTCGGTGTTTGAAAGGGTCCCTAAGTTTAGGGCTGATTTTGGGATGTCCTGGGACAATCAGAAGCCTAGAGCCCCAAGAGACCACAGAGGTATTGCTGCGGTCAAGAAGGCTTTCTGTCTAGCTGCTAGTGGGCCTTTTTGGTCTACGCCTTCGGTACTAGCAAGGTGTAAGACTTCATGAGGTTTGTTTAGGGTTTAGGGTTCAGGGTTTCGGGGAGGCAAGCAATCTCTCAACCGCAGAGACTTTTTACAAACGCTGCAGCACCAGAGATTGTCAACAGGGAAGCACGACAACCCTCGACGCACAGAGCTATCGCTCCTGATCCCCACAACCCGAAACCCTCGGAGAGCTTTCGGGTGGCTTTTTTGGAGGCATTGGGGCTTTAGGGGTCCAGAAGTTTAGGGTTTATATGGGTATAAGAGCTGCTTGCACATGGGCAGTTGTCTAAATTAGGGTCCCCTTTCAGGGTCCTTTCTATAAAGGTGCCGTACTAGATTGGGGACCTCGAAAGGGACCCTAATTTAGAGAACTATCCACATGTTGGGCCTTTGAGTCGTGGCTTTACTGCTTAGAGGCTTCGAGGGAGCCGTCCTCCATCAGCGGCTCCACGTAGCTCAGGATAGCAATTATAAACCTGCAGGTCTGCGTGGGAGTTGCTGGGCTTGGGGATGAAGATGCAAAAGTCCAAATACATCCTATCCAAAAATATCCTGGATCTTGCATATTTTCGCATGGATTGCGCGAAACAGCCAAAGTCCTATAGCCTGATGGCTGGGAGCCTGTAGCAGAACGTTGGGCCTGGGGCCCCTTTGTTGAATCGAAAAGAACGAGCTGCAGTTGAGGCATTCTTGGGGGCTTCTACTGTGGACACCTTGCTTCAAAGCAGCAGTATGGCCATCGCCACCTTGACCCCGATGTATTCAGCGTTGCGTTGCCGCACTGCCTGCATGTTGTTGCCGCGCCTCGGTCAGTGCGCGGCCCCCGTCTGCGAGTCTACAGCTGCATATCTGCGAGCATGGATCGACATGGTTTGGGTGTCGGCGCTCACTCGGACGATCCATGCGAGACATGTGGTTCGAGGTTTGAAGAGTGAAACGAACAAATTGAGAGGGAGAGGCCCAAGTTACAGGAAAGCACTGCGATAACACCTACGACGCACGGTGGCCGCTTTCCTACTGAGGTCCTCCCAAACACAGATACCTAGTTGAGGACCGCTGTCACTACCAACTATCGATAGGGCTTTTAGACTTTTAGACTGTAGGGCTGTAGGGTCATCACGCTCCGCATAAATGAAGGCATCTGCTTGCCTTGTTCTTGCTGGATCCGGTGAGTCACGAGAGGCTGTCGCGGTGCAGGCACCAAAACTCATGCACATGCTGACCTGCATGACTTCGCTACTGTCGCTAACTCAGCCAAGGAAGTCTCCCCATAAGCGACGGCGCGCGCACAAAACAGGGACTGCTCCTCCTGCAGTCGCTACTGAACAGACTCTGAACTGCTGCCATATAACCTTCCACCGGGTGCACAGCGAACCATCTACTGAAGCTAACTAGTAATGACATACCCTCATTACAGTCGCTATAAAGTGAAGCACTCATACACCACAAAAAAGCATTTTCTGATTCGCCAGGCCCCAATTTTAGTACGCACTCAACCCCATAGATCTGCCCAGAAATAGTGAAGGCACTTCAGTTCAAACCCTACACCCTCAACCCACAGTAGTGGCACAGGCACTTCAGTTGGCGGATCACGGCGTTTTTCAGCCACTGAACCAAAGGAGGCTCGCTCCTTGGCATTTCTGGGGCGTTAAGTTCTTGAGGTTAAGGGTTTTAGGGTTTAGGGGTTTCGGTAAGGCTGCTTAAACTGTATTTTGGGAGTGATCTGGCCTTGTTAGTTCCAAGTATTAAAGTGGATGCCTCTTCCGGGCCAGCTTTCCTTTGATTGCGCGGACGAAGCCCGAAACGCTATGCCACTATGCTATCTTGTCATGCAGGTTGGTGACTGTGACTATGGTTTTTCGTTGCTCAAAACTGAGAGCACCCTTATTGTAATCAGGGTGTTTATGGTCTTTCGTCCGGGTCCTTCATTGATTCAAGCATCGTTAAACGAAGCCCTGCTGACCTGAACACATGATACTTTGAAGTTAGATGAGCTGAAAGATGGTGACTGTGTGTACCGTAGGGGGTCAGGAGAATCTTCTGCTCTGGGCCTGCGGGGTTTGGAAACGATAAGTCTGCTTTGCAACTGAGCCTGGCTATGTCGAGGCTCAGCCAAGGAATTGAACCCTCAGCTAGCCGCCCGAAAGTAAGACGTTCCAAGGCACATGATCGCATCCCGGAACTCCGGATAATCAACTTGGTCTTGATAGGGCTTGTTGTCGCTAGCACCTGGGTCTCAACAGGACGTACATAATGGGGCCCGCGTTCTACATCCTAGAGGCTACCCCGAGCTCATGATTCCCGGCCCGGTCAGAGGTTACGGCTTGAAGGATGCTTTTGCCTTGGTACACTTTTCGGCGAGAAGTGTTAATTATAATTAAGGAGCTTTCGGTCTTGAGCGGAGACCGGAAGACTAGTCCGACTGACGCTAGTGCTTTCCCCTTCGTACCTCCACTATTGCCAAGAAGAACAGCTTCCCGACACATCACGATCACTACCAGCAGCAGCCGCACGCCAAAGCATTCAACATCCGTCAACATCATCGCGGTCCTGCGTGCTGGCATCCTCATCCTCACCGTCAAACATCATGGCTGTGCAGCGGTTCGAACAAGACGAGCTGTGGCTGACGATTGCCACCACCAACAGAAACAGCAGCGGTGCCAACTAATCGCGGCAATTGCAACTGCACTTGTACTCGCGATCGAAGGAGCAAGAGGACGATGACGAGATCCCAGGTGGTGACAACGAGGATGAAGACAGTGATGATGCTGATGATGCTGATGGTGGTGGTGGCGGTGGTGGTGATAATGAGGAAGATGGGCATGATGATGATGCTGGTGATGGTGATGATGATGATGGTGGTGTTGATGGTGGTGAGGATAATTGGGGGATGGTGCTGATGATGGTGATGATGATGATAGTGGTGGTGGTGATGGTGAGCCTGATGACGAGCATGTGTTGATTATCTGAGCAAGGAGAAGACTTCCAGTGCTTGGAGTGGCTTAAGCAATTGTTCAAGTAACGTGCCATCGTCTGCGAGCCGATGACAGCACCATCCTGGCTGGTTTTTCGGGTTTCCCCCGGGGTTTAAGAGTTCAACCAGGTCTTGTTCCTTTGACATGAGGCTTCTCAACTGTAAGGACGGCTACGCCTTCGAAGCTTGAAGATGAAGCTGTGGGGCTGCATGTACTATAGTACTACTACTACACGACGACGACGACGCCGACGACGACTACTACTACTCCTATATGCTCCTACTCCTCCTCCCTCTACACGCTGGCTAGCCAGCTGTAGCTAGCTGGCACTACAACGACGTTTTGTTCTGCTTTCTATGCGGGTGCTGCTGCTGTTGCTCCTGATGCTGTTTATGCTACTCTTTCGGCCACAGCTGCTGCTACTTCTACATCTTCTAATTGAATATGGTTTTGTTCTTTGCGCCTGAAGCTGTTTTTCACGCCCACATCCCGGAAACAGCTCACAGGGCATTGCCATGATGCCCGCCTTCTTTGCCAAGCTCCTTGGCGATGGTGGCCTTGAGGCGAAAGAGCTCGCTAGGTCGGCAGGTGTCCTGGAGGCAGTAGAATTACAGCCGGCTGCTGTGGATGGTATGTCCAAGCATAGATTTTGGGTGGCCTGCAACAGCAACGTCTGAATATGGTGATAGACAAGCCTTCCACAAGGCCCACAAATACCCTTGTGTCAGCCACGTAAGAATCCTTAAGCCATCCTCAATCCATCAGATCAAGGCACAACATCAGACACGCTCACAGCGCGAGATAATCAGACAATCTTGCGAAATTCTGCTAAAAGGGCCGAGATGGAAAAAACACACACACAAAACAATCTTGGGGGCGGTACATCTTCTTGAAATCTGGGATTCAGGGACTACGACAATCCTGCTCCCCTTTTTTTAACATCAGGCCCTTGAGCCGAATCCGCAAAACCACTTTTGTGGAGGCTTTGCTGGAGGCTCCCACCACTTTGCACGGAACTGCTCACCAGCTGAACCATTATCAACCCCTTGTTTGCGTGGAAGCTCTCCATCATTTACCAAATCCTACATCCTGAGTGCGAGACCCTGCGCAAAAAAAAGCACTTCCTGTAGCCTAAAAGCGTAACTACCAGACCAAGACCCGAAATACCAAACTTCCTCATGCTCCTATTGACAGATCCTGGAGGCCCTTACACCTGACCCTAAACCCGGAAACAAGTCATCGTGGCAGGGCGCTGCGAATCCAAGCCGGTGGTGTTACTGGCGGAGCTATGCGGGTCGTCCTTGCGAGCCTTCCAAGAAACTTGGCAAGGTAGGGTTTTTTGGAGTTTTGCTGCTTCACAAACGCGCTAATTCGGGGCTAGTGGGATTTCAGGGCTTTTGGGGTTTAGGGGTTAGGGGTTGATGGCTTTGCACTTGGGGATTTAAGCTTTGGGCTTTCAAGGTTTTGGGGTTTAAGGTGGGTCGTGGCGGGGGACTCAAGTGCAGGCTTTAGGGCTTTGGGGTTCGAGGACCACATGGAAGACAGGTGGACATCATGTCGTCCATTATCAGGGATCTAGAGCATATGTGTACATACATATATATATGTATTTTTTTGGCTCCCACCTCATATATATATATATATGTATATATATATATACATATAGGTGTCTTTTCCAAGTGTCGTTGATACCTCATCTGCCCACACACACACACTTTGCCGACACAAATGAGACTTTCCTTCAAACATTGTAAACCGTCACCGTCACCTCTCTCGTAACCCTACAGTGGTCAGCCTTGCAGTCGCCCCCGTAATAACCTGTCAAGGACCCTTATACTATAGTGTATGGTCGGTGTTCTTTTGAGCTCTCGCCTGCACGTGTAGGCTAGGGAGGTTACGTGTTCCTGAGCAAGGCTTCGGAGTTCGGAAGGGGCAAGCTCTAGTCCTAGAGTGATACAGTTCGCACGCTGGGTAGGGAAATCAGGCTTGAGGAAGAGGCTGAAGGTCCCTCTCTCAACAGGGGCTTGCCATGAAAGCCCGCGCAGTCCGAGATTAAAACCACTGCCGCCTGCTTTGGGCCTGCAATGTCTCAAGTCTTAGACTTCGCTGTCGGGCTGATTTCTTAAACCTTGTAACCCTAAGCCGGGGGTTCTGCATTCGATCTTCCCGGAGACAGACGTTGGATCCATGGAGGCTAAAACATATGGAGACGCAAGGAAACTGCCCACCTTCGAACTTGTGAAAGTCGTAGTGGCAGCAAGCATGCGAAGCTTGGAACCCCACTCGCTCTTCTTCCTTGACCGGCGTGGATGCGAAAAACGGAGGAACTGTCAGCAAGGCCACGTTGCCACAGACTTCAGGAAGCATCTCTGTGAAATAAGACTTTCGTCGTTGAAGGTCCTACAAAATGTCAAGTCCGGAGTGCATGTTTCACTGTTTAGGATGCAGGACCGTCCAAATCTTCGCTGACATGCTTGCCGCAACCTGGTCGGCCTATCTGTTGCGGGTTATTTACTCGAGGCTTCGAGGCAAGATCTAGAATCAGTTTTCAAGCATCGCACCACCCCGCTCTCCTAACAAACGACCATCTTGCAGCAACTGTGCTTCTCAAGGCCTGAACACGCAACCCTACCCAAAAGTCTACAAAAGACCGTCTTGCAGCAAGCGTGCTTCTCAAGGTGTGCCATCTGGAACAGTTTGTCTTTGCAGGTGTCCAGCGCAGACTTTGCCACCCAACCTCACAGAGATCCAGCAAGCAACCCCACACCTGAACCCTAAGCTTGTGTTGAGGACCCTTTTCCTGGGGAAACCCTAAGGGTTTAGGGCTTAATTAGGGTATTAGCCCTGAACCTCGTAGTAAACGACATCAAGACTCGCCTTAAGATGTACCTGAATCAAGCATTGGGGCTTAGATCATCGCCCCACAGGCTCTGAGATCAGGACTGTCCATGTCCTCATCAAGGAAGCAGAAGACTCGGTAGAGCTTCTTTTCCAGAACTCGCCTGCCGTAGAAATCCGGGAAAGGGTTTAGGGTTCGGGGCTCAGAGAAGAAAACACAGGCGTTCGCGGCAAAACGAGCAAGAAGGCAAAACAGCTGTCATCACTAGAAGCGGAAGTTCAACCTTGAAAGATCCTTTACAAAGGGATTCCTATTCTACGGAATCCCATAACTTCTGCTCCGCGAGCACAACGAGAAGCAAGACCTAGCATGGCATAGCACTCGGAACAGAACACATGTGATTCAGGGTTTCGGCGTTCGCGCTCGGACAATCCAGGCGAGGCATGGAAGAGCTGTAAAAGGTCTTAAGGTGCCACAAACCCTAAACCCTAAACCCTTCACAAACCCTACACCCTAAACCCTTCACAAACCCGAAACCCTAAACGCTGAACCCTCCCACGTTTTTTTTAGCGGGAAGAGGGAGGCTTGCAGGAGATCTTCGAAGCCGACGTTTGAACTCGCGCGCGCGTGCAAAGCCACAGTCTTCTGACAGTATTTTCGACAGGGGTACAGATTCAGGGGTTTAGGCTCTAGGGGTTTAAGGTTTGTAGGGTTTGCAGGGTTTGGGGTTTAGCGGTCTCGGCCTTTGCCGGTATAAAGTTTCGGGTTTAGGGGGCCCACTTATAGGAGGAGGACTGTAAGTCGTCTCTGGGTCAGTAGCCCGGCGCTCTGGAATTGCCAGCCGAGGCGCGCGGCATCGTCGTCTTCCACCTGTGGCATTCCCCCGCAAGCTTCTGGGCTCTTCGCAGGCACGAGGATCAAAATCTAAACCCTAAACCCCTGAGCCCAAGTCCTCATGTTTATAAACTGTAGTACCCACTTTGAGGGAGTTGAAGAATAAGTATTCAGACCTCTAAAGTATTTACGGTCTTCAGTCGTCCGGTGCAGGACTTCAATGGGGACCGGAAAGTCCGACGCCCGAAACCCGTGCGTTTTGTCGTCGAAATCCCAGATAACTTACCCTAAGGGTCCACATGCCCAAATAGTATTTCCTTTGGCCTTGAAGTAGCCCCTATGCAGGTACTTAGGGGCCAAAGTATCTCGACGGGGTTAGAGCCCTTGCCCACCTTGTGACCCCAGAAGCGCGAAAGCTCCTGGATCTTGGGCATAAAAGCCTGATCGGGATGAATCCCTCCATAGCTTGAGACAGCAGGGGCTTCTCTTGCCAGAGCTTCTCAAGCTGGAAGTTGCCCTGCTTGTTGCCCTGCTTATCAGCACTGAAGGGTTTAAGGGTCTGGGGTTGCAAGGGTGTTTGGCTCTTTGTGCTCTTTCAAGGAGGCATAAGGGGCGTCGCGAAGTCGATCTTAAAGCTTGTTTCTTTGTCCCGTCTTCCCCCGTTTTCCTTTAAGGGACCTATACAAAGAGCACCCTCTTTGAGCTGTAGGGTTCGGGGTTATACGGATTGCACAACTTCAAGATGGGACTGGCAGGTCAAGTGGAGCCAAGCCGCGGCAATCCTCGCGATGCGGCCGAAGCCTGGAGTAAACTTGCTCTTCCAAAGCAAATCTCCTTTTGTTTGCTGAGGGTGTCTGATGTATGTGTCGGAGGAACTCAGAGGGTAGAGCACCACTCACCAGTCTTCTACCGCCCTGGCGCCCATCAGTCATGAACATGTTGGAGTAGCCACACAGATTGCACCAACACAAGTAAGTACCTGAAGCCCAAGATGCCCATAGTTATGATTAAGATTCTGCCCCAGATCAACACTACGATGAAGCTGCCGATGCAGAGTAAGCTGGCAAATACAGCCATAGAGAGAGGCGGGGGCGAGAGAGCCCTCGCTTATGTCCCTCCCGGGGAGACTTGGACCAAAATCTGCCGAGAGTCGGTTGAGCCGCGCAGCTCGTGCAGAGCGCCCGAAAAGGCGCAACATCCTGGTAAGCCTCGCAGGTTTCGGAACTTCAGGGTTTGGGGTTTCAGGTTTTGGGATAGGACTCGGGTGCAAACAGACAAAGGCCCTGGGACGCATGGTCGCTGTTTGTCCAGGCTGTTCAGTTACCCACAGGGAGGAAGGATGTACTAGTTAGCTGATTAGTTCGTCAGTTGGTTTGGGGTTTAGGGTTGGTTGGTTGGTTGGTTGGCTGGTTAGCAAAAGTAAACAAGTACATCAATGAACGGCCACAGCACTCAAGGTCCTAATGATCCTGCAACTGGGACCCCATCAAAATTTGTGCTATACAGATGGTCGCAAGTACCCGCAGCAGCCAATGTATAAGTAAGCATGGCACATTCATGTGTTTATAGCGTACCTTGGTTCTGCCGGTTATGCAAAAACATTCGGGTAGAGTATGAACTGAACCGTCGTCTCGACGGCTGCGGGGTGCGGTTTGGGTTTTTCGACTCTCACACTCGCACAAGGCAAGCAAGTCTCTGCATAATTCAAGCAAGGCTTAGGGCTTAGATGTTGCAAGTGCTTGCATGGCAACTGCCAGGAAGGAGGAGCCAAGCACGAGTCTCTGCACCGGTAGGGGCCTGCTAGAGCGGCCCGCGACGAATGCACTGCCATCCGTAGCCAGTTGCATGAGGATGGTATCCTCGGCTGGAAATAGGTGGCGGGAGCTGAAAGCTTAGGAACTACTGGTGCAAGTATGCCCTTAACATAAAACCTCAACATAATCTACCACCCCTCAAAAAGCCCAGCTGTCAAGGCCCCTATACTACTTCAGACACAGGTGGCATTCCAGAAGAGGCTCAAAAAAAAACCAAGAGAGATGCCGAATCGGGGTCTTGCATGCTCTTCCGGTCAGTTTAGGCTTAAACCGACAGGCTACAGGTGGTTTAGGAGTTTTTCCCTCTTAGGCTTGAGGGTCTGTGGCGGGTCTCATGCACAGCTTCGAGTCTTCGCCCTCCCTAAAAAACCCTAAACCCTAAACCTAAAACAACCCTAAAAACCTTAAACCTTACAAACCTTAAAAACCCTAAAAACCCTAAACCCTAATAAACCCTAAAAACCCTAAAAACCCTAAAAACCCTAAAAACCTTAAACCTTAAAAACATTAAAAACATTAAAAACCCTAAATCGGGCCTCCCTCACGGCCTCTGGTGCTTGGCTGCTTGGCCTTCCTCTGAGTGCTCCGCTCCAGGAAGGCTCCCGACCCGGTCCCTAATTGGGACACGCATACACACACGCACATAGATAGACAAATATATATATATATATAAGTACAGGTATAAACATAAATATAAATAGATAAATTGAGAACCCCAATACTTCGCTGTTTGGGGAAGAAATAGACAAACAAATTATATATATATATACACACCTCAAAACCCGATAAAAAGTGTATATATATATACAAAACCCTCACAGCCTCGACAACCCAACCGGACGATACAAAAGAGATGAATCCGTCCTTCCTTTTTGCAACAGGCCTCGCTGTCCAGCAGCCCGGTCTAGCCCCAACACACACTCCCTTAGCCTACAGCAAGGAGAGCTTGCGAAACGACACCTCTGAAGAAACTGCTTGAAACGTAAGCACCTTGCTAAACTCGCTGAATACTTCGGCGTGAAAGGACATGAACTCCATGAATCCGTCCTTCCTGAAGTCGCAGCCGGGTCGCTGGTATGAGGGAGATGAAAGCAACAAGATCCAACATGAAGAAAGCGCTGGTCATGTACCCCTTCTTCCCGATGCAATGCCTGAGGCACATTCAATTGCGTGCAAACTGGCCTTTAATGAAGGTTTAGACTTAAAACCTGCTGAAGACTTTGGAGTTTTATTAAATCACATTTGTTTGGTGCAGGGTAAAGGTTTCATGAGGAATTAGTCAGCAGGCAAGCCTAGGCATGGAAAACCCTAAGCCACAAGTGTTGACTGCCACCTGTGACCCAGTTGGGGCGCCTTTGCACGTCGTTGAACCCGGTTAAATGGGCTGGTTGAGAGGGGTTTTAGGGCTAGGTTAAGGGTCTATAGCTCTGTGCGCTTGCTTTGGACCTTGTGGTTGTATTCTTCTAGAACCTGACCCGCAACCAGGATAACCAAAAGAGGAACCGCATCAGAGAGTATAGGTCGAACCCGAGACGCCCAATCCTGACCCCCTGTGAACACCTTCATGGATAGTTCTCAAAATTGGGGTCCCTGTTTAGGTCCCCAAAAGTGTACGCACCCTTATAAACAAGGACATTTAGAAGGAACCCTACTTTCCGGAACTACCCTCGTAAGTTTGTACAGTTTCTGTCGCGGGCATCCGAAGATAGCAGGGCTGAGGACCAAGGGCAGTTTTTGGGCTGCCTGCTGCGTGTCTCAGCATATAGGCTTAGCGTCTACGGCTTAGGAAATTGGAACCCAGCATTTGCCACACTGACTGTTGCTCAGTCAGTTTTCGAGAGTTTGCCTACTAGATGGAAAGTGGCCTCCAACGCCATCCCTGCAACCGGAATGTTGACAAGACTTCCTGCATCAGGTGAACAAGGAAGCCTCGAGACATCCTTGACGACTGAATGTCGACCCTGCTTCACCAAGGCCCCCTCTCCTTGACAAGGATGTTGGTAAGACTAAGATTAGGACCCATAAAGACAGGGAGCATCAAGCATCAGTGGTCTACATGGGAAAGCCCAAGCCGGCACCAAGGCGCACTACAAGCTCGAAAAGGAAGGCGATGGCAACCAGCGTAGTAACAATGGCCACGCCTATCCGCGACGACCTGAACTTCTGCAAATGTAACTACACAGCTTGGCTGGGGGGGGGGGGGGGGGGGGNNTGGGGAAGGGGGCCTGGGGTCGGGGTGATTAAGTTTTGCATGTGTGTTATTTCCCTCGATTGGCAAGGACGAACTCAGCAGGGTGGTAATTGGGGGAGTGGCTGCGAGCACCGTAATTGCGAGCTGAAGAACACTAAGATAACAGCTGTATGTGTGTAATGATATCTATCTCTATATATATATATAGATATAATATTGACAAATTCATTAGGTACATGACTACAACTTCCGGAGACTCAAATTCGGACCAATGGTGTGATCGAGTCGTAAGACGAGAAGCTTGTCACCTGCCATCGCGTCGATGTCGATGGCGAACAATGCATAAGCCGTAAAGAAGACATATGTGCCCGTCCACGACCTGAGTGAAGAGGTCTGCCAGCCGAGAGATCACAAAGGAACCGACATACCAACTTCTAGGGGCTTCGTGGTAAGCCCATTTCAGGGCCACCTCTGATAGTTCCACTACCTGTCTCTGGCTTTCCAGGGCTCGTCACCCTAAGCTCCAAACTCATCGCTACAGGGGTACCACTTGATATGCTCATTGAGCTGTGTAAAAATCCTAAACCCCCAAACAACTAAGCCCCTTCAACAACCTGCTACAGTACCCTCATTCCTTCAAGCTGACCGATGCCATGGCCGACCAGCAGCCGTTTGTTCGCCAAGTTCTCACAGAACTCTTGGATAGGCCCTTTGTCCCACTCTTGCGACCACTCCTGAGCTGCGCTAGGGGTTTTGGAAGGATTTAGGAAACTTGAAAGGCTTAGAGGCCCTAGGATTTATGGACTTAGCTTGGGGTCGTGTCTTGGGATTCCTCCTCAAGTTCCTGGGTCTGTCGATCGGCACTCTCAACGGGCCATGGGCAGGTACAAGCATAGTTTTAAAGCTCCACATGGCCAATCTTAGGTACTTACGTTCTTAGATTTACCAAGTCTTGGCTGCTGAAGGTCCGTGGGTATCTGGTGTTCATCAGAGGCCAGGACCCTGCGGGCGATGAGCGTTCGGAAGATGCTGCTTGAACTCGTCTGCATGTCCTATCTATCATCTTGGCCTTTGGGTCGATTACACAAAGCTGCCCGAACTGTATAACTGTAAACCTACATGGGGACTCTCAGGCTGCAAGGGGGATACCATTATTAGTTGTCCAGACACCTCTGCTTCGTTTCCCCATTTTCAGGCCACAAGCTCGCATCATCCTGATGTACAACCTCACAAGATCGACAACAACTCTTCACATTGAAGCTTGAACCCCAAGCCCCTAAACCCTAAACTCGAAATAAAACCCACCGCTCGGCCAAGAGTCGGTCTGCTTCTCTAAGCCCTCGGCCGTCCAGACCGTGGGCGTACCCTCCTGGGTGGAAGCATTCAACGTCTTGCGGTTGTAAAATAGAGTTTCAGTGCACTTACTGTGGAAAACGCTACTAAACTCCAGGCTTCGGAATCAACCTAAACCCAAAACCCTAAACCTAAAACCCAAAACCCTAACCCAATGGGCAGCCTGCGCTCCGTACCGGGGATCTTCACCATGAAACCGATTCTCTGAGAGATGAGACACAAGGGACTACAGTACCTTCCGCCGAGGGAACCACGGAACCCGGTGATTCTGATGAAGCCCCTATAAACCCAAAAGACACCAAAGAGGATTGCAGCCTGTAGGAGTCCTGTAGGAGCCTTGATGAGGGTAAGCTCTCATGAAGCCCCTAAACCCTAAACCCTAAGCCCTAGAAGGGTGGGGGTTCCTTTAGGAGTCCTGTAGGAGCCTTGATGAGTCTTGATGAGGGTAAGCCGTAAGCCGGCACTTTGGGCCGCAAGACCGGAAACCTGATACTATCCTGCTACAAGACCTTGAGGTTCTGAAGAGCCCCCCTGGGGTTATATGGGGGTTTCCGAAAATAGGGCACCCTAATATAGTACCCTAAATGTAGGATCCCTATTATCAAGGACCCCAAAATAGGGTACCCCTATTTTTCGGAAACTCCCATATGAAGCATGAAACATAAACCTGAAAGCTAACTCATAAGGAGCACACCGAGATTAACAGCATCTTTAGGCCCAGGAAATGAGGCGGCAGCGACTGGCTTCCTGAACCCAACAAGTCCAAAGCTAAACCCTCGATCACCCCAAAACTTGACTGCAAATCCTGTAGCCCTACTGTACCAAAAAAACTTGAAGAAGTTATATCTACTTGTTCAGACCCATATAGAACCTGGTAGAAACTTCAGAAAATTCGGGCTAGGCATCGACGCTGGAGTCTAAGTCCTACACGTCCCTAAACCTTGATGAACCCTTCGGGGTGCACGAATGCGGCTGGCTTGCCTCCGCCTCTGCAGCGGCAAGTGAACGCCAAGATTGAGAGCGAAGCAAGCCTGGCCGGGAGGATGCTGGCGGGAATGTCAGAACTTGTGCAAATGTATGTATGCATGTACGTACACACATTAGTTTATGTCATACACTAAGTTGTATACTCTATCCGAAAAGAATAGAGAACATAGTAGAATAGAATTTCACGGAACACAACAACATAGCACACAATAGTGTGGAGTAGAAATCAACAATCCATGGTGATCGCGATCTTACCACCATTGAAAGCACCATGCATGCTTTAGCAGCCATGACGTAGATGACCAGACGACCGGCTGATGATGCTGATCCGATATTGGCCCAGCCGGGAGTGCCCCCATTGACTTCTGATCAGGACCCCAGCTGTTGCTGAAAAGAGCACGCCGCCTGCTAAGGCTACCCCAGTCCTCCCCAGCCCAAATTACATCTATATATACATACATATATATATATATGTGGGAGAAAGAGAGAGAGAGAGAGAGAGAGAGAATATTATATAGTTGTATACTCTCTCTATATGCATATAGAATATATTAAGCTATGTACTATAGCTCATGCAGCAAAGAAGCCTCTGCTGGTCTCAGACTCGTTCCAGATGGAGGTGCCTTGCCGGATCGCTGGCTTGCACTACAACATCGAAAAGACCCTAAAACCTTAAACCCTAAACCCTAAGTTTAGGGTCTAGGGTTTAGGGTTTATGCAGCCAGGCCGGCTTACTGAAGCCTGAAATAATCAGAATAGGCTTTTGGGGATATATGAGGCATATGTACTACAAGTACATTTTGTAAGGAACACTGAGGAGTAACATTCATAAGCATGCAGGCTTCTATAGTGGGCTTGCTGACTCGTTGAATCTGGGCGTTCAGTCCGACCCTGTAGTATCTAGCTACGGGGGTAGCTTCCTCGGGCATCCTACATTCGTAAAGGCCAGTCCTTCTTCCTGATCTCAACCTATCTCGACCTTAAGCCACCAAAAAGACCTAAACATCCCGAGTCCCCACCGAAACTCCGCAGCTCCCCTTCGACTTGATAGGGTGCCTGCTCGAGCATCTTCCCCAGGGCCCCCGCGGCGGAACTCGTATCCTAGGTTGGTTTTTGCTTTTCTTTTCGTTGGGAGGAGAGGGAGCGTCCCTTGTTTCTTAATCGGCTTGGGGCTTTCTTCGCCTTCGGATTCCTTGGTTGTCTTCGGGTTAAGGACGTCCCCGAGCATCCGGATCTTCTACGTATCTCTCGTGACTTGAGTTATAAGTCCCCTTTAACGCGAGCTGGCTTTTCAGCATGGGCCTGAGTTGTGTGCCAGCGAACACTACCTGAACGGTAAACAACCGACAATGCGTAGGGCTCCTTCCCTTGATTTCCCTGCGGATTTCCTGGAAATGCTAGGGTTTTATGAGCAGATCATAGCGGTGGTCCGTCTTCTGGCATCCGGATTCTTCAAACCTCAGAGCCGACGCCCCACAAAACCCAACAGAAAGCGTGTCTAAACACACCTGTACAGCAAAAAAACTATACCAGAAACCCTTTAGAAGCCTACAAACACCGAAAGCACACAGAAAAGACCACAGGCACCACACTTATCAGACACCGACGCCAGTCTAAAACCCCTAAACTGACCCGGTGCGGGTACGTCGCGAGAGAACTATTTAGGGTTTAGGGTTTAGGGTTTAGGGTTTTTTCAGGCCAAGGTTCTCAAGACATTGTCCAGGTAGCTGATGCTGGGCGGCTCTTGTCCCTGCAGCAATGATTCGGGTTTTTGGGGGTTCAGAAAATGGGACGGGAGCAGAGGATGATGTGTGCTGATGATCTTCATTTTTCTAGGAGCTTGACGGCATACATGCCCATGCCCTCGTTGTTGCTGAGATTCCCTGGTTCAGGCTGCTAGGATGATAGACTCCCAAGTCCTTTTCACTAGAAGGGCTAAAACTGAATACTTTTCCCAAGTGTTCCGACCCCTATACCAGGCTCCCCAGTAGTCCCGTCACCATAAGGGTACCTACGGGTAGTTCTCTAACTATGTAGGGCCGCTTTTCAGGTCCCCGCCAATAGCGCGGCACTCTTACAAAAAGGACCCCAAAAGGGCCCCAAGTTTAGAGAACCACCCATATTGCTCTCCGGAGGTCGTCGGCTGTGCACAGCCGACGGTTGCCCTGCTTGGCAGTGATACCTGTAGCTTCCTCGCAGAAAACCACCCCCGAAGATGGTGGAATTGAAAGGACGTTAGGGTTTAGTGCTCAAGCTTGCTTTGGGGGTTAGGGTTGAGGGTTCAGGGATACCGGGGAAGCGCGAAGGCCTTATGCAGCATACCTGAACATCTATGAAGCCCTCCGAGCCTTCGGTACAACTCTCAGAGAAAAAACCATTTCTTTTCCCCGAAAAAATTTTCCCAAGCCTGAACCTTACCTGGACCCCAAGAGTATGTAGAATAATCGCCTTTTATGAGTTTTGGGCCATTATTTTTACCTACCTTTTGGGGGGTTTTAGGTATAAGCAAGCCTTAAACCCTAAACCCTAAACCTTCGCCGGCCTCCTCGTGGTCGCTGAGCTGCGTCGCTATGCTAACTGCTCTGCCGATTTGCATCTCCTCCGACCTCCTTGGGTCAGCTGCGTGTTTTTCTTATTGTTTTCCGAGGCTTGTGTTTTCTGCTGTTGAGATACCTGACTAGGCTTCGGAGAGTGTAGGGTCATTCAGTTTGCGCTTGGGGTAGGGCTTTCGAGTGTAGGACGTTTACCATCTCTTAGCGCTTCCTGTTGTCATTCATGCCAAAACTTTCGCCAGCACCTGTTGTCAACGTCACGGCTTAGGTTGTATAGATATAGAGTATAGGATTTACCCTCTTGGGGGGCAATATGTTACAGAATGATCGTAAAGCCAGCTGGACATGAAGGGTGGAAGGGTGTTTGTGCGTGTGGCCGGTTAAGCTTCCACCTTTGCCGGCGGCACACAATTCAAGCCGACGGCTTGAGGTTTAGAGTTGCAAAGCCTTAGCCCCACTAAGCCCGGTCTGAACTCTCCAACCCTGAACCTTAAACCCTAACACCCAAATGCCACCAACTCACTGCTGACAACCCCAAACACCCAAACATGCTGCAGCCGATTTCCCGAGACGTCCTCCGAGATGGGACGTTTCGACAAAAGCCGGGACTCACGCACAGTCCGAAATGCTAGGATGCGTAGTATGAGGTCGCCTAAAGGAAGCCACCCCTCTTCTAGTCCCGGTGACAGCTACAGCATAGTATATGCCGAAACCCTCTTCTGATTATCACGGCACCCATATCAGGCCACAGGACTCCGACCGCCATTCCGCCGCGGCATCACCGAGTTCCGACTCGTTCGGAGTCGTCTTCCTAAGGCCCGGACAAGGGTGAAACTCAGCAGTCATGCGCTCCTGAAGATGTTGCGGGAATGATCTGAACAGTCTTTAGGCGGATGTTCTCGTATTGTATGTAGGGACCAAAAGCAGCATGGAGCAACTGCTCGTTGTGGGCCCTGGTGACCGTGGGACCTCTTATCACACCCTGAGAGGCTGTCCGACAAACCGGTGCACCCACGCTGCCAGGAACGAAACATCATATCAATCGACTGCAAACTCTCCAGCCTCTTGCACGCACCAGAACGGAAATCCCCTCCCTCTCCAAATCTGAACTCCAAGCGGTGTAAAGCCAGGCTACACCTTCACAGGTACAACGACGCTTCGCTTCCGCTTTCCTGGCGGAAGACAGAGCGATGCATCTCTATCCGGCGGGCTGGAAGGGTTTAGGGCTTCGGCTTAGGAGCTGAAGAGCTCGGGTTTAGGGTTTGGCTCATACTCGATTCCCATGATTGAAAGCTCGACCTTGTCCCTTGGTTGTGGCTAGGAAGGAGGCCTTGATAAGTACCACTTTGGAAATCGAATTCTAATGAGGAGCTCCTAAGCATAGTACTCGTGATTAGTCAGGAGCCCCAAAGAATAAGATTAGTGATCCTAGTGGCCTCTGCCATGGCTTGTCGGAGGCATGCGAATCCTAACAACATGCTGCATATCTACATGTTGAACTATCTCTGCATCACTCGCTCGATATATACATATATATATACATACATCTTTATGTTATATACACACATACATACAGACATACATACATACATCTATGCATGCATGCA